TTCCAGATCCAGGACCTGCTGACTGGGCTCACAGCTGGCCGGGTTTAGCCCCAAAAACACCCCCACAGGCCGCCTCTCTGTGATGCTGCCTTTGACCAGCATGCTCCTGTTATAGTGGTCAGGGGGTTGCCCTCCCTGGCAGCTAAACAGAATCTTCCAGGATCCCCAGCTTCAGTTTCAGGGCAGGGGCCATGGGTCGCCTAACCTAGAGGGCCCTTGTCCTTGGTGAGGAGCATCCTTGAGAGACAGGGTTCTGGATAGCCACTGGCCCAGATTCTGAGAAGCTGGGCCTGGCGTTATCTCCGTGCTAATCTTGAGGCAGCAGCAAACCAACCTCCTAGGAAAGGAGGGGGTGCAGCTTTTTTTTAAAGTTTTTTTTCTATATATATACATATACGCACATATATAAAAACAACCCCGTGCAACAACCAAAACAAATGCAGTTGCTGCAAAGGGATTCCCAGAACCGGTTTCCTCTTCGCGCGCGCCCCCTCATTTGCATGCAGACCCCGCCCCCACGGAAGATCCGGGCGCGTATTTGCATAAAGGGGTACTTGAGACGAGGGTGGTATGCAAATGAGGACTGGCTCCGATTGGCTGCGGTACAGCAGGTGCCGCGTCCGGATTGATCAAAGCCAAGTGGGCGGGGCCGTCGCTCTGAGCGACTCTCTCGGGAGGCGCGTGCCCCGGCTCAGTAGCGTTGGGGCTGGCGAGCGCGACGAATCAGAGCATTGCGCCGTCTGTGGGCGCTTCTGGGCCACCGGCTTCTCCGCCTTCCACCCTGGCGCCCCCAAGTCCTGGCTCCCCATCCTCGCTGCCCAGGGCGTCGACGCCCTGCGGGCTCAGCGGGCTCAATCTGCGCAGCGCCTCCTCCATGTTGAGCAAACCTCTTCAGGGGCTCGCGGTGGCCCCCGTGACCCCCACACCACCGCCAGGTGAGCGAGGCTTCTTTACCGCTACCAGGCCGGGCGGGCAGAGGCGATGGAGGGCGACCCGGGGGGAGGCGGGAGGGTCGCAGCGGGGCTTAGCACGAGGCCACCCTGACTTCCTCGCCTCTGCCTGCGTAGGAGGCAAGGATCGGGAAGCGTTCGAGGCCGAGTACCGACTTGGCCCCCTGCTGGGAAAGGGGGGCTTTGGCACAGTCTTCGCAGGACATCGCATCACAGACCGGCTCCAGGTGGCCATCAAAGTGATCCCCCGGAATCGCGTGTTGGGCTGGTCCACCCTGTCAGAGTCAGTCACATGCCCACTGGAAGTAGCACTGCTGTGGAAGGTGGGTGCAGGTGGTGGACACCCTGGTGTGATCCGCCTGCTTGACTGGTTTGAGACCTCAATATGTGTGAGGTCGGGTCCAAAGAGCCGGGACCCGGCTTGCGGGGGGCGTTCGCGCGCCCGCGTGAGTGAGTGCGTGTGTGGCGACTCAGGTGGGCGTGTGGGGGAGGGGCAGCGATTAGGGAGGGCCTGAGAGTGAAACAGGGAGCGGGGGCTCCTAAGGACTCTAGACCCCGGGATCCAGGGGACGTGTAAATGTGTGTGAAGGTGGGGACCCAGAGCTGAGATTTGGGGGATTTGGGGGGCAAGGTCTCCAACATGGAATCTTGAGGAACAGGACCCCGAGACACAGTCGGGCGTCTTGGGGCTTGATTTGAAACATGGAGCGCTTGGGTGTGAAGAAATTTGGAGCTCACAACCTGGTCTGCAAGGTTCTGGGCTTGAGAACAGAGCTCAGGGCCGAGGGCTGAGGGCGGTGGGAGAGGTGAACTTGGTCCTGGGGATTTGGCGGGCCAGGGAGAAGCCCCCGGCTCTTTGGGGGTCGTGGTGTGGTGTAGTTGGGGCCACAAGGACTAGGGTGAGGCTCAGGACTGGGAAGAACCCGGGGGTCATCTTCCGCCCCCTTAACTCCCGCCCGTTTCTCCAGGTGGCCATCAAAGTGATCCCCCGGAATCGCGTGTTGGGCTGGTCCACCCTGGTGAGTATCTTCGGAGTCCTTCCTGACCTGGTGGCGCCATAGCTGATGATGGGCTCTCTCGCCCCCTTGCCTCTCTATGGCTTGTTCGCCTCCCTGGGCCCTGTTACTGACGAGATCACTCCTCCCAGCCCGTGTTTACTCCCCTGCAGTGACATCTACACCTCCACACAATTCTGACTCACCCTAGTTCCCCTAGAGCCCTGGATTCTCCCCTCCAACCCCCCTCTCTCGTCCTCCCTCCAAATGCTGCCTCAGGGGCTGCCCGCAGGGCATGCTGGTGGGAAAAGGGGGGGCAGAGGTCACTGGTTGCCATGGTGACGGTGGCTGCTTCTGTGCCGTTAGCGCGCTAACGGACGGCAGGGCGGGTCTGGGCCAGTTGTAAATGCGGGAGCGCCCCCTGGCGGGAATCTGGGAAGGTGCGCCTGCGCAGTAGCGGAATTTTCATCGCCCTGAGAAAACCTGTCTGCAGCTGTGCGAATCGGTGGAGTGGCCAGCAGAGGGCCCCATCTCAGGCAGAAAGGCTACTTCTGAAAGTCCTTGTGCCCACGTGGGTTTTCTAGAGGGGCGGCTTTTGTGGCTAGTAACATTAATGCTCTTTATTGAGTACCAAGGTATGCCTCAGGTTTTGCTTCATCATAAAAAGCTTACTGTATTCCAAGTCCCACTAATCACTTTCATTCAACCCGGTTCTAGATGCTTGGTAACAGTAAAAAAAATACCGTGATAACATTGAGTTCTTAATTTGTGCCTGTTCCTTTACAATCGCTCACTTTCAGCTACTTAACAAAAGTAAATTGAGTACCTGCTATGTCCCAGGCACAATTCTAGGCACTAGGGAAAATTTTACCTTTATTGAGAGCTCGGTTTGTGCTAGCTTCTTTTCTACTAATTGCTTTCACCTACTGAACACATACTATGTATTGAGCCCTACCCTGTTACCAGGCACTGTGCTAGTGCTTGAGCTATGTCAGTGAGCAAAACAGAAACTGTTACACAGTAATGGTATTTATTTAGTGCTAACTCTGTGCCAGATGCTATGCTGTAAAGTGCTTTCATCTATTTAACACTTACTGAGCACCTACTGTGCATAGGGTACTGTTCTAAACTCTTTGGAGATGTCAGTGAACAAAACAGATAAAAATATTCCATAATACAGTCTTTCTTTATGAACCACTTTTATCCCTGGCGGATTTGGCTCAGAGATTACAGCGGCCGGTGGACCAAAGGGTCTTGGGGGTTCGATTCACGGTCAAGGGCACCATATCTTAGTTGCAGGTTCAATCCCCAGCCCCTGTTGTGAATGGGAGGTGACCAATCAGTGTATCTAACGTTAACATCTCTCCCCCATCCCTCCACTCTAAAAAAGTCAATGGGAAAAATATCCTCCTCGGGTGAGGATTTTTTTTAAAAATTAAAAAGAACCACTTTTATTTGTTCTTGAAATACTTACTGAACTCCTGTTTCATGCCAGACCTGCATAGGCTTTTGGCTTTAATCACCTTCCTAATGGCTGTGTGAGTTTGAGCCCTTAAGATGAGGAAACAGACCCAGGGAAGGAAGTGGTTTGCTCAAAGCCAGATAGTTAGGAGGTTGAGGGGCTATGATTTAAGTTCAGGCCAGAAGTCAGCCTCAGAGTTACTGGCCTAATGTCTGTGTTCTCTTCTCTCTCCCTGTTTCCTCCCACAGTCAGAGTCAGTCACATGCCCACTGGAAGTAGCACTGCTGTGGAAGGTGGGTGCAGGTGGTGGACACCCTGGTGTGATCCGCCTGCTTGACTGGTTTGAGACCTCAGAGGGCTTCATGCTGGTCCTTGAGCGGCCTTTGCCTGCCCAGGATCTCTTTGACTACATCACAGAACAGGGCCCGCTGGGTGAAGAACGGAGCCGCTGCCTCTTCACCCAGGTAGTGGCAGCCGTTCGGCACTGCCACGCCCGTGGAGTTGTTCATCGTGACATCAAGGATGAAAACATCCTGATAGACCTCCGCCGAGTCTCTATCAAACTCATTGATTTTGGTTCTGGTGCCCTGCTTCATGATGAACCCTACACTGACTTTGATGGTAAGACTTTCCTAAATCTCAGTGGGGAGATTTTTTACTTTTTATATCTTTATGGACTCTTGACCTTTGATCTCCAGTGCTGGGGTGTAACCCTTGACCTACATTGTAATTTTATAAGGTTCTTGATTTTTAATATTGAGGGCTCCTCCTGCCTTGCCCTCTGTTAAAGCCCATCTTCTCACAGTGCCCTGACCTTGTTCTGGGCTTTTATTCTGGTGAGGGGATCCTGTTTCCTGAGTGTTTAAGTGCTTTTGTTCTATGAGGGGACTCTGCTGTCTTTAGTGCTCTTATTCTGGTGATGAGACCCTGCTGCTATATTTAAAGAGCTCCTACTGTGGTGACAGGACCATACTTCCTGGGGTGGGGGTGGAAAGAAGGGCATTATCAAAAAAAAACGGTCTAACCTCTGGCTTACATACAGGGACAAGGGTATACAGCCCCCCGGAGTGGATCTCTCGTCACCAGTATCATGCACTCCCGGCCACTGTCTGGTCACTGGGTATCCTTCTCTATGACATGGTATGCGGAGACATTCCCTTCGAGAGGGACCAGGAGATTTTGGAGGCTGAGCTCCATTTCCCTGACCATGTATCCCCAGGTGAGACCCTCACTGGCCCTAGCCCAGTGGACTCCATACCTCCCAGGGACTGGTGCCTCCAACTAACTGCTAATTTCCTGTGTGTTTCTGACCTGCAGACTGTTGTGCTCTAATCCGCCGGTGCCTGGACCCTAAACCTTCTGCTCGACCCTCACTGGAGGAGATCCTGGTGGATCCCTGGATGCAGACACCAGCTGAGGATGCACCCCCTGATACCCCTAAAGGGGGTTCTGCCCCTTTGGCCTGGTCCCTGCTGCCCTAGTTGGGCTGCCCCAGGGCCATGCCACAGGAATAGGACATCTGTTGATCTGGTTTTACAGGTCATTAAAAAATCCAGTGTTACTAGGGTCAGAGATTGGGGATCAGGGGTCAGAAAACATATGCCAAGTCTGCCCAGTCCCCATCCCAATCCTGTTAAGGAGCCTTCCTCCCAGAATTTACAGTTTCTTATTCTGGAGGGGGGACTTCCTTGCTTCTCATTTTACTAAGTATGTTTATTTGGTTGAAGTTAATTCCATTCTGAGCCCCAGGAATCTGTGTTACAACCCTTACACTGGCACCTCCTGCCTGCTACACCACACAAACTTAGTTGAAATGCTCTAACTTGGGCAAGGGTGCTTTTGTTGGAATACCCCAGCAGCTCTTATTTTAGTAAAGGGACTGTTTCCTTTAGTGTAGGTTAAGATTCCATGTTCAGTCAAGCTGCTTGCCTACCTCAGCCCAGGGTTGATTATTCTGGGGGAGGTAATGCCCTATTGTTATCCCAGGGCTTTTTTTTCTTTATTTGTCTTGTTGTTGTT